GTTTGATGCGGTTCTTGGCTCTTTGGGGTTGGTTGCTTCAAGTGACTCATCTGCTAAGTTCTTGGGATTTGGCTCTCCTAGCGGTTCATATTCAGGGGGTGAACTTCCTGGCAGATGGCCTGTCTCGGTTCATTTCTCTATCCATGGAATGGACGGTCAATGCCGACTCGTTCAGTTTGCTCTGCCGGACGTACAGGCGCCCAGAGGTGGACGTAGATGCATCTTCCAGTGTATGTGGCGCCCTTCCCACACTGCGAAGCCGTTGGGGTCGATGCCTTTCGACCGATGAAGGATGCCTTTCGAGGATGAAGCAGTTGAAAAATCTGATTTCAGGAGAGGTCATTATGGGGAACTCAGACATTTCTTTAAGGAATTTGACTGGAAAGACTTGCTGTTAGGACATGAAGTAAATGAGATGTATGTCAAGTTTTGTGAAATATATAATAAAGGAACCAAAAAATTTATACCAAAGCAGAGATGCAGAACTAGGAAACAGGATTGGTCCAACAGAAATTGCGGGAGGGCCAGAGACCAAAAAACACAAAAATGGAATCAATATAGTAAGAGGGCAAACCCCCAAACATACCAGCGATACAAAGATGCGAGAAACAACTACATGGCAGTGAGGAGAGAGGCAGAAAGAAATTTTGAAAAATGGATTGCGGACAAATGTAAAATAGAACCAAGTCTATACAGTACTATAAATTTATGAACAACAAATTGCAGGTAAAAGATAATATTCAGAGGTTGTTTATGGGAAATAGATTCACAGAAAATGAAAATGAAATGTGTGAAACATTAAACGAAAGTTCCAAAGTGTGTTTGTACAAAATGAAATCTTCGGGGAACAAGACACAATAAGAATTCCAGAGAACAACATAGAAGTGTCTAGAGACGAAGTGGAAAAAATGCTCGAGGAACTAAGTAAGAACAAAGCAGTTGGTCAAGATGGAATTTCACCATGGGTTCTGAGAGAATGTGCACCTGAGCTCAGCATTCCAATTCAACTGATTTCTCAGGCATCCCAGTGTACAGGAGTTGTAGCTGATGTGTGGAAAAAGGCTAACATAGTTCCAATCTACAAAAGTGGCAGCAGGGAAGACCCCCTCATTTATTGATCTGTATCATTGACAAGTGTAATAGTCAAAATATTAGAAAAAATAATTAAAACTAAAAGGGTAGAACACCTGGAGAAAAATGATATAATATCAGACAGACAGTATGGTTTTTGTTCTAGAAGATCCTGTGTAATGAATTTACTCAGTTTCTGTGATCGAGCCACAGAGATTTTACAGGAAAGAGATGGTTGGGTTGACTGCATCTATTTGGACTTAAAAAAGGCTTTTGACAGAGTTCCACATAAGAGGTTGTTCTGGAAACTGGAACATATTGGAGGGGTGACAGGTAAGCTTCTTACATGGATGAAAAATTTCCTGACAGAAAAATGAGGGCCATATTCAGAGGCAATATATCTGATTGGAGAAATGTCACAAGCGGAGTACCGCAGGGTTCAGTTCTTGCACCAGTAATGTTCATTGTCTACATTAATGATCTACCAGTTCGAATACAGAATTATATGAATATGTTTGCTGATGATGCCAAGATAATAGGAAAGATAAGAAACCTAGATGATTGTCATGCCCTTCAAGAAGACCTGGACAAAATAAATATATGGAGCAACACTTGGCAAATGGAATTTAATGTGAATAAATGCCATGTTATGGAATGTGGAATTGGAGAACATAGACTCCACACAAACTATAAATTATGCGAGAAATCTTTAAAGAATTCTGATAAAGAAAGGGATCTAGGGGTGGTTCTAGATAGAAAACTGTCACCTGAGAACCACATTAAGAATATTGTGTCAGGAGCCTATGCTACACTTTCTAACTTCAGAATTGCACCAGGTAATCCACTATTAGTGTTGTACAGAATGAGTTTACGTGAAGGAGTATTACCTGATGCTTGGACAAAGAGTGTCATTGTTCCTATCCCCAAACCACACTCAGATAATTATAGACCCATATCTTTAACATCGTGTGTTTGTAAAGTGCTTGAACGTATTGTTCTAAACCGACTCATGTATCATATACAGGGGCACCTGTCACCCCAACTGTTTGGATTTATGCCTGGGCTCAGTACACAACACTGTTTTGCTGAGTACTTCGCACATATTGAAGCTTCCCCTCAAACAGTCTTCATCGACCTAGCAGCAGCTTTTGATACAGCAAACAGAGAAATCATACTGGAACAGCTTGCCGAGCTGGGAATACAAGGAAAATTACTGAAATGGATAAAGGGCTATTTGTCTAATCGAACAGCATATGTTTTGTTTAATGGTGTCAAAAGCACAGAGAGCAAACACTTTGAACTGGGAACTCCCCAAGGAGGGGTCCTTAGTCCCTTGTTGTTCAACGTTCTGATGCATAAACTTATTAAAGATCTTCCAACTAATAATGAAGACACTGTCATTTGTTATGCTGATGATATATGTTTACAGGCTGCCACCGAGCCTAGAATGCAAGTTCTGCTCAACGCTTTTGCTACTAGAGCTGAGGAATGTGGCCTCCTTATCTCTGTACAAAAAACTCGTGCCCTCATTCCATGTGGTATTCCACCACCCAATTATCATATAGATGGGCGAGCACTTGAGAACTGCGAGTCTTACAGATACCTTGGTGTCCCCATTAACGACCCTGGGTACCTTTCTTCTCTCAAGAGGAGACTTTGGGAGAGATTAAAGCCCTTGCGGGTCCTTGTTGGTGTCAATCATGGGCTTAACGTGAGACTTGCTAGAATGTTTTATGTATCATTTATACGCTCTGTGATTGACTACAATGCTCTACATCTCACACTGTATACTGACAAAGAGCTGAAATCTCTTGAAACCTTGCAAAATGAAGCTATGCGTCTCATCCTTGGGGCTCCAAAGTCCACGAGAATAGTTAACATGAGAGCAGAGTTAAAATTACCTACCATAAGTGAGAGAATCTTGTCTATTAGCACAGTTTTCGGCGTGAAGGCATTGAGTAGATCTAGACAACACATGAAGTTTCAAGCTAAACTTTCTAATATGCTACACTCACCTGAGGTCTATAGAAGAAGAACGAAATCTGATTATGTATATTGGTTCTACAAGGTAGCCAACTCCATCAAAATATTAAATATGTACCCAACTCGACTAATGATTAATCAGCCAATTACTCCATGGGATAACTGGGATCTATCAGTTGATTTTGTAAATGCGCCCAAGAAAGATAGTGTGCACACTACATTATTAAAACAGTTAACACTGAAAAGCATCACTGAAAGTACTCAGAGTATGGGTAACGATGTTTATCAGTGCTATACCGACGGCTCTGTAGAAGAAGGTGGACGATGTACCGGATGTGCATGTAACATATTTGAACAATCTTCTCTCGTACATACAGCAATGAAGCGCGTCAATGACTGGGCAAGTACAACTCAAACCGAACTTGCAGGCATATACCTTGCCACTGAATTTTTAAAAGACAAAGGCAGTGGACTTATATACTGTGACTCGCAGAGTGCACTCCTGGCATTGAACGCACATAGTAGTGACACCCAGAAAATAGTCAGTGATATTCGAATGAATGTTTTAGCTGCCAAAGAAAACAGATTTGAGATTAAATTCCTATGGATACCATCACATTTTGGCATCTCAAGGCATGACACTGTTGATATGCTTGCTAAGTCAGCCTGCAGAAAACCAGTGGTAGAAATTGATATGGGTGTTTCATTAGCAGTGACAAAGAGAATACTTAAACAAATATCTAATGAAAATCTCACCGACCTAACAAATTCTCAAAGACCTGAAAGTTGTAGCATTAAATATTATGATAGATATCGTGAGGAGACATTCACATATGGGACTAATAGAACAAGAACCCGGCAATGTGATGTTATAGTGGCCAGAATACGCCTGGGATATCGACGTATCTGGCAGCTTTCTCAAAACCCAAATGTCGAGTACACAATGTGTCAACTTTGTGAAAGAGAAAACATGCACTCTCTTGAACATTATATTGTAGAATGTCCCATACTGACTGACTTTCGCCCTCCTGGGCTAAGGTATGCTGAACTCTGTAGTTACTATATGAGTACTGGAACACTTGATGATATATTGGACTTGTATCCAAAATTGACCATGTAATATATCAATCATACAATGTATATATATGATGTAACTATATAACCTGAGCTTGTAAAAGCACCTTCATCACCTTCAGTGATTAAGTGCTTAATTGCACACTAGTTTCTTTATCAGCTACCTCACCCTGTCAGGGTAAATGAGACAAATGTATGTGAATGCATGTGTGTGTATATATGTATGTGTATGTGTGTGTGTGTATGTATATGTATGGGTATAAAGCATATATGGAAGCTGATCAGAATTACATTTCACCTTTGTAAATGTACATTAATGACACTATGTAAAAGACACATCAAACACTTTATGTAGGGCATACGTAAATCTGTGTATCTATGTATTTACGTATGTAGGTTAGCTTAGCATTTTAAAAGCACCGAATCACCTTCTGTGGTTGAGTGTTCAATAAACCCTTGAACTGTATGTTTAACACTTCTCTAACCCTGTCCATGGAGGACAGAAGAAAATGTATATATGCTGGTTAGCATTGTAAATGTGTGGCCACGTCTGTGGTAGAAAATAATAATAATAAAAAAAAAAAAAAAAAAAAATCAACAGTTCCTCTGTAACATTACAGAGGAATTAGTCAATCTGACCTGACCTGACCTGACCTGACCTGACCAACCGGAGAAATTATCCACTTGGAGAAAGACTAAATGTGACTTACATTGAGAGTGGGTCATGAGCATGGAACAATGTTGTTGAATGGAAAGGTAAGAGTGAAAAAGTGAATTTGAGATAAAGAGGCGAGTAACAATAATTAATGAAAAATAAAAAAAGGTACAGAATTATGCAGATTTTTAAAGTGAGCAAATTTCTACCCTTTCAGATCCTGTACGACAAGGCTCATTTATCAGTAATGAAGAACTGCAGGAGGTTATAGACCTTCTCTCTCTTCCTCTCACCACTGATTCTAATATTGCTGAGACTGAAGTGGTTAGTGATGGAGGAAGTAATGCTGGCGGGGGAGGAGGGAGTATTGAAGGCAATGTGGGTGGAGGGTCTATTAGTGGAAATGGTAATAATAGTGGCGGTTGTGTTGGAGGTGTAGTAGTACCAGGGGGAGGGGAAGGTAGCATTGGGGGTGGTGGTGGCAGCAGCAGCAGTAGTAGTAGTGGTGGTGGTGGTGGTGGTGGTGGAGGAACGGGGAGTGTAAGTAGAGGAGGGAGTGGAAGTAGAAAAAGTGGCGGTACTCGAGGAGCATCCCCAGTAGGTCTCAGCCCAACTCACCACCCCTCCATAACTCAACTCTTTGATGAAGCCAGCAAACAGCAAAAACAACAACAGTTACAGCTAAAAACACAGCAGCAGCAACAAAGGCAGTCACCACCAAATGCCCAACCTCCACAAAAGTCTCTAAAACAGGTACAACAGCAGCCACCACCACCCCAACAACAACAGTATCGTGAGCAGCTACAGCAACCATTGCAGTATCAACAGCAGCAGTACCCACAGCAACATTCTCAACAGTCACCCCAACCACCCCAACATCAACAGTATCAACAACTCCCAGCGAGCAAGAGCTGTGCTACACCACATCATTCTTTGGGAGACGTTGTGGTTGAAGCCCCAGAAAGTAACAGTCAAGTCAGCACCCCACTCTGGCCCCCATCAGGAATTGCACCAGGTAATTGGCATGACTTGAGCCTGAGTTTATCGGTATCAGACAAAGAGAGAGGAATCTATCTTACATCTGATACTGGCAAGGTAGGGCTGCATTTGTTTAAAACAACTTTAACTTTGAAAATCTTTGTACAGAGATGTTCTGAATCAATGATTTTTATTTTATATTTTGTATATATTTTATGATAATAGGCTGTTTGTCTAGTGAAAAATGGTTTCATGCTAATTTGTTTTATTGGATGCTTAGTTCTCTGTTAGAAGCTGTGTATATTTTATTTTTTTATGTGATTTTATGTAGACGTGCACTATTTATCTGCACTCTCTTTATACTTAAGTAATATAAAATTATAATGCATCAAGAATACTTATCAAGACTCAATAGAACAAAGGAGAATGATGTGTCTAATAATACACTGTAGTATTCATCCACTTGTAAACCTCTATCATGTCACCCCTAACTCTTCGCCTTTCCAGTGTATATGTAAAAATCTTATATTATACAAGGGTTGTCATTGCTGTTTTTATAAAGATTTAACTAAGGTTATAAGTAAAATGTAGTCCCCGTGGCATAGTGGTAAAACACTCGTCCGGCGTTTCGCGAGTGATTTGGCTTGGGTTCGTATCCTGACCGGGAATTATTGATTGGGCGCCAAGTCCTTAACTGTAGCCTCTGTTCACCCAGCAGTGAATGGGTACCTGGTTGTTAAACAATTTGTATTTGGGGAAAAATTAGGAACAAGAATTGGTCCGAAACGCTATGTATGTGCTAGTGGCTTTACAAGAATGCAAGAACTTTTGTGTATATATAAATAAATAAATAAAAGGGTGACATGATCACTCTTTCCCAAGGGAGGATGGTACTGGATGTCAAATATCTTTTTTTTTTTTCTTTTTCTTTCTTTCATGGTGAATATGAGATCCAGTACTGACGGAACATCCCCTTCCCACATTCTTGTGGCCTGCTTGACATGCCTGCCTGCTTTCACCAGCACAGCCACTCCTTCCCACTTTCCTAGTTTTCCTGTCATGTCTCCAAACCGAGACGTGACACTGAAAATGCCCATGGGAATACAACCTCATTTAAAATATTTTCTGTGGGGAGCCCCATTGGCTCCCTGGAGCTATTAGACTGATATATGCTATATTAGTCTGGGGCATCAGTCACATGGAGTTCTTATCTACCAGGAACCACGAGCCAGAACCTGGTCCCCCTCAGAGAGGTGAAGGGAGCAATGGCCTATGAAAACTCCACTCTTTGAGAGTATATTCATGTCTAAAATCGATCGGGGCAAGGTATCCAGAAAGGTAGGCATCCTAAAACAATCCCCAACTGGTAAAATATTGCAACCCAAAACTGAGCAGAGCCCAATAACTCCCCCCAAGAAAAACAATGCAACAAGCAAAACGTCATCAAACCGTCGTGGCGATCATCCCTTTCCCCAGGGGGCAGGGAGGAGGGGGGGTTCAAACCGGCTGCTCACCTACCAGTTTGTCGACTATTGTCGACTGGGGTTGACACCTCCTCTAGCCTTGATTTCCTGTCAGGATTTTGCCCTTGTGGGTGTGCCTGCTGTGTGTTGGGCGGTGGCCAGGAGTAAGCTGTACTTCGGGCTGCATGTGCTTAGCGTTCTCTTCCCTAGGCACCCTTGTAAGTAGGGGTCAGTTTGCCTGGTAATAGATGGGGATTAACTGGCTTTGCAGCACCAGTGCCTTGGCTTCCTGTAGGGACACCTCCCCCTGTGGGTCTTGGAAATCCCCCGATGGGGCTCTTGTGACTTTGTATCACAAGATGCATAGTCACAGTTAACATCTAAGTCCCATCTCACCTTGTGCGAGTTTGAAGGTTGTTCGTTGCCCTTGTCTCAGGGTGGTGATCATCTGTTTTGCCTCTGTCATGCTGCTTATTGGTTCGCCGACACCTTCGACCCGGAATCGTGGGAGACTTGTTCCCCGCTCGTTCTTCAATTTATCCATTCTTCTTCTGGAGATCTTAGGGGACCTGGACTTGGGGGTGTTGGTTGCTTCAACCTTGGTTCAGTCCACGCCCTCGAGTCCTTTCCCGGTTGGTTCATCCTACTCCTTCCCTCCTGCCGGCTCCCAAATATCTGATTTACTGGCGTGATTTCAGCACTCTTGTGTCTGGTGCATCTCCTTTTGGCTGGTGTGTATGTTGCTGCGGTGTTTGTGGTTTGGTGGCCATTTTGCTTTCCTGAGGGCGCTTCCATGCCCGGCTACTAGGGTGGTGCTGCGTCTTGTTTGTTTACATGCAGCTGGGCGTGTGCGCTCACTATTTTGGGTGCATTTTACACTTCTATCTTGCATTATTCCTCCTCCCAATGCCGTATTTCTGGTTTGAGTTCTGTCTACTCTGTTAGAGGGCATGGAGGTAAGGGGTTTGCGTTTTCTGCTTTCCTGCTGAGGTGTTGTTGGTTGTTTGGATGAGGCTGTGCTTCTCTAGCTGTGCTGCTTTTGTTGTCTATGCAGGGTTGTGTTTTAGCTCTTCGGGCCTGCCTCTTCCTTGTGTTTTCCTGCCCTTTTTCCATTTGTAGCCTTCACCTCAGCTTTGCCTCCTGCATTCCCTTTCCTTCCTCTTCTGCTCCTGGGCAAGTCTCTTTCTGTTCTAGGGTTCCTGTTGGTGCTCAGTTGCCTCCCCAGTGTCCTTTCGTGAGGTTCTTCTCATCTTAAGTCATCCTTTTTTCCTACCCTGTATCATCTGCAGTGGCATGTACATCTTTCTTTTTTCTTTTCCTCAGGAAGTTTGGGGATTTGTTTTTTTCTCCTCCTTGGTACGTGTTTGCTTTCTGGTCCACTCTCAGGATGCCACTTCTGTTGTGTGTTCTTGGATGATTCCTTGGTTACGCTGCAGCTGCTGCTTGCTCCTTGACTTTGTCTTGTTCTTCTTTGTGACATCCTACCCTGTCTATTCCCCTGGGAACTTTTGGGGAATCGTCTTGTTTTCAGGGATAGTTTTCTTCGGGGCACCGGTTTTGAGCCCAGTGACCATGCTCTGTATGCTCTTCCAGTTACCTTGCCTTCGGCCCTCGGTCCTGTCCAATTTCTGGCCATTTTAGCTGTGGGGTTTTGTTGTCAGGGGTCATGTGACTTGCCAATCAATCTTGTGTTCTTTTTCTGGACACCTGTTGACGATTTTCATTTGTGTGGTGCATTTTCTACTGGCAAATGTGGTAGGGCTCCCCCTGGGTTCATTTTCCGGTGCCCTGGGTTCCTCAGATTCGTCCTTCGGAGGTTTTCTTCCTCTTGGATTCCCTTTGAGGCGTCTGGGAGATCCTTGGCACATGCCTCCGATGTGGTCCGTTTTACCTCTGGGTTGGTTTCAATGTTGTTTTAGTTGGGGTTCCTCTTACCCTGATGGGGGCATTTCGAGGTTCTGGTGTCTTCCTGGCTGGCAGCTTCCATCAGTGGCTGGTGGGTTTGGGCTCCCTACCAGTCTGCTTGCTGCTAGCAGGGGGTTCTGGTTCTTCCCAGCTTGCTGGGTTCCGGCTCCTGGTGACTTGGTGGTGGTCTTGGTGGGTTCTTCCCAGGTTCGGCCTTGGCTGGGCCTGGTTTGGGATTCTCGATTGGCGTTCGTGTCTCTCCCTCATGTGATGTTGTTGCTCCTGCTGTGGTCCCACCTTTGGCCGTTCATGGGGGGGGGGGGGGTTCCCCGGGTCACTCGTTGGTTGCTCAAAGCTGTGTGAGAGTCTGAACTTCACCTTGCTGGTTTTCCTGCTGGGTCGTGTTTGGCTTTGGTCGCTGTTATGGTTCCTTTGGAGCAGTCCCTTCCGCTGCTCTCGCTATAGCTTGGTTCGTTCCCTGGGGTCCTTGCTTCGGTTGCTGCATCTCCAACTTCCTCTTTGGTTTTCGGGGTTCGGTGCCATGGCGCCTTCTCATTCCCTTGCTCGATGTGTTCACAGTCGCCTGGTTTCTTGGCTGGGGTTTTGTGACCAGTGCTCACCAGGCTGGTCAGGGTCGTTGGGGTCTGTCGTTCCGTCGGGCTCACAACACAGTGCTGGAGTTCGCTGTGGTGGGATTCTCGCTGTGGTGGATTCGGCTCACTCGGGGCTCTGTGATCCGGCTCCATTCAGGCTGTGCCTTGGTAATTCATTATCTGAACTAGGGGGGGTTGCTATGGTCCGTGGCTCTTTGGTGCTGGTTGCTTCGAGTGGCTCATCTGCTGAGTTCTCGGGGTTTAGCTTTCCATGCAGTTCACATCTGGGGGGCAGGGGGTGTCCTACATTCTGGCAGACAGCCTGTCTCAGTTCTTCCCGCTGTTCTTCGAGTGGGCATTCGATGCCGACTCCTTCTGTTGGCTCTGATGGACATTCGGATGCCTGGGCGTGGACTTCTTCATGTAGGCTTGGTCTTGGCATCTCCCAGTGTATGTGGCGCCCTTCCCCGACTGTGAAGCCTTCGCGGTAGACACTTTTCGGCTGGACTGGTCGAGGTGGGAGTTCCTATTCCTCTTTTTTCCCCATGCCAGCTGTTGCTTCGAGTTCTGGCTCAGCTCGAATCCTTCAGGGGAAGGTGATTCTCCTGGCTCTTTGGGGCCGGCCCAGCCTTGGTTTCAGGCGCTGCTTGCTAGGTGTCCGAATGCAAGAGTTTTTCCGCAGGTCGGGCCAGTGTGCTACTTTGCTGGTTTGCCCTACTCTTCCGCTCTTCGCGTTTGGTGATTTTGACGCGAGTGTATCACCACTTGTATGGTGATTTGGTAGCTTCTCTGATGGTGTCCCACCTGTGGTGTTCCTCTCAGCAACAGTATGTGGTCTCTTGGCGTTCTTTTTGCCATTTCCTTTCCCTTTGTAGTTTGTCGTCCATTTCTGATTGGATTGTTTTGTCCTTTCTCTCTTGGATCTTTCTGGACTGGCTTCTTCTGCCGAATACTGTCACTTCTTCTCGTGCGGCATTGGCGTAGCCATTCCAGCTGGCGTCTGGGGTAGATGTTGCTTCCGTTTCATTCCCCTAGCTTTCTCGTTCATTTTTTCACCTCTAGCCTGCTCCTGTGCC